CACACACACACACACACACACACACACACACACACACACACACACACACACACACAAATGGAAAATTATTGCTAGACAAAGTATATTAGATTTTCATTTGTCAAAAAATTTCAGAAATTTATTTTTTCACGGAAAATTATAAAATATATATTCTTTTTTTAATATAAAAAAACCTGGAATGTTTTTTCTCAAAACAATAAGTTATGTATGTTTTCGTTTCATAATTGCATTAGTGAAGAGTTGACATGAAAACAGACTATAACAATCAAAAACAAGATTTGTGCAATTTACACTTTGTAACTTTAAGAAAACTGTTCACGAAAACAAATAAGTTTGTTAATATAGATGCGTCAGACAGTAGTTTTGAAGCCACGTAAGTTTTTCCAACGTTTTGCTCTTTTCAAGATTATTAAAATCTACAAGCTGTTGAAGTTTACATATAAGAGACGTGAGTTTAATGAATTTTAAATTTGATCTAATACTACATGTTTCAATTTAACATTATGCTGATATTTCAGTTGTTTATATTTTATTTATTCACATGCAGTTATATAAAATGCAGTTATATAAATGTTTAAATTAGAATAACATTATTTAATCTCACTGAACTCCCACTAAAGGACTAACATGTTTTTTTTTCATATTAGGTATCGTTAAATTTCTCGTATTTTATCTATTGCACCGTATCACGATTACTCCAACGGACTATTTTCTCGCTTTATCCATCAATACGTAAATTAAACCTTACATGCAAGTTTCAACTAGAATTTGGAGGAAAAGAAATAATTTAAACATAATTTATTTTACATTTTAATTGTTAACTTTATTTATTTATTTATTTATTATATTATTAAATTTATTGTTTTAATAAATTCGTCTCTGTATTAATTCTTTATTTTTTATCTTTGTATTAATATATCAAGTCATCATAAATTTTTTTAATCCTGATATCATTTTTTTATTAAAAAAACCTTTAAAATATTAATAAAAAGTGATTAAATTAAATTTTTCTTCTAAAAAATATTTACCATATTAGTAAATGATTGTATATAGAGTATCAAAAAATCAATTAGTACGATGCTATAAATAATTAATTAATTAAGAAAACTGTTAAAACATCTTATATGAAAAATTCAACAAATAGAAGATACGCGTAAAAATTTTCAATAAGTATACAGACTATATAATGTAGACGCATCAATCCTAAAAATATATATTCTTCGACAAATATAGAATCGATTTCTTTTTTGAGACAATACTTAAAATGAAAAATTAATCCTAAAATAGTTTAACAAAGAAAATTAAAGCTTATTGTCCGTCATTACATGAATGTTTAATAATATCAAATAATAATCATGACATTTATGTAAAGTGTTTACCCAAATATAAACATATATGAGACTACTTATATAAGCACATGCTCTGTACGTAACAACTTACATTTCTTCGCGTCCCTGAACATTTGAAAGCCCTTTAAAAGCCTTTGCCTTCTAAACTATATTGATGAAAGGTATGCAGGGCCGACAGTGATGGTTTTCTATCTTGGAGCTTTCAAATAGCTCTCTTTATCAAAAGCTGATCGTGAAATACGTGTACATAAAGAAGAAAGGTGTGTTGACATAATTAGCATAGTACATTTTATACTGCGTAGCACACACATGTAGCGCTGTTGGTTTTACTATATTATCAAATATAATATAATATAATTATATAATATACAATAGTTTTGTTATAACAGTAAAATTCGTTTTTTTCTGTATAAGAAAAATTATAAAATAGATTATAAAATATTTATATAAAAATGTATATAATATTAATTAACATTTTAAATAATGACATAAAATTTAATAAATCGTCAAGATATCTTTATCTGACTTTATTTGAAATAAAATTAGAATTTTTCTTAAAATGACTTATAATAAAAAGTTTGTACACATTTTTGTGTTAGAGACATTGTAGACAAAGTTTAACTATTTATAGATTGTACGAATAGAAATATATATCTGTATGATCCCTCATTCAATATCTTTTGTCTTTTAAAAACGCTTAAAATGATTATTATATATTTGCAATTTTTTCTTTGTTATCTATTTCTTGATGTAAAATACTAAGAAAAAATACGATTGTTAAAGCTTGCAAGGAGTATATACAAATACAACTTACTATTCATATCCATTAAGTCATTAATAGCATAAATTGATTGAATTCGATGATCTATGTATAAGGAGTTTTTTAATTATTGATTGTTATCTGTCATTAGAAATAAGTATGATTGAATATAAGTATGATAGAAATAACTATGATTAACTTTTAACAATCAAGTTTAATTCATTAACGGTTGAAAGATTTAGTAATATTAAATTGCTTGTCAATTTAATTTGCGATATTACTACAGTAGTTTAGTTGCGTCTTTAAGTCCGAAAAACCAATTGGCGCGTAATTCAAATGACTACATATATGTATGCATGTAGTATATAAGTTCATATGGAAATTATTTAAACATTTAAGATCCAGCTTCAACCGTTATGGGCTTTAACTCTTACTTGTTGTACATTCACATTATACGGTCTTAATTGTTTATTATTGAAAGTTTTAATGTTTGTAAGACTTATAATTTATATTAGGTTTTTTAGATTGTTAAGATTCTTTGTAGAATCTTCCTGAGATTTTTTGAGAAGTTTGTTTTTAGCTAAATTTTTATATTATGTTTACAAAAGGTATGGATTGATTGAATTTGAATTTAATCGTGGAATATCTTTTAATTTTACTCGCCATATTGATCTGTTGATATGGTAGTGATATAACTGTAATTATGACGGTCTTCCTGGTATTAAATTAGGGGGGTTGGCACATTGTCGCGTGTCACAATCAATCCCCAGATAACAAGTGTCTAAAATCAGGTCATAAGATGTTCTTTGAGTTTAAAAGACGATTTAAAGACGTCTTACGTTATAATTTTAGATTTTGTGTTGTTTGGGTTAGTTCTTGACATGTCGAGAGAATTTCTGTGAATCTTTCCGCGGATCAGTAAAATATTCGCAATGAAACACGGAATGTGGCAGTTTCATAAACATAAATTAATAATCTTTATTACAATATTTTTATGTTTATCTTTGATATTTAAATCTGTATAAAAATTAAATAATTTTATGTGAAAAATTTTAATCATTTAATATCATATTAAATATTAATTTTAAGAAAAAGGATAAATTTATCT